TTAATATTATTATTAATTATTAACCTTTTCTAGTTGCAATTTGTATTTTTCGCTTATCTCTTTGTCTATCGTCTGCTTGCTGACGAACTGATGGAGAGCCATATCTTTGATCCTCCTGTGCTCGGAATCCATCAGACTGGTGTTCAGGTAGGGTTTGTTGCCGCCGCACACGTCCTTCATTAAAGCCATGTAAAGATCTTTGGCATCAGCGACGAACGCGCCCTGCGTGTCCAATAAAACTATGGCCACCTAGAAGAATCGTTTCAAGCAGTTCGTTTAAGAAAACAAGGTAAGTTTTTGATCGTCTCTCTCTCTCTCTGTCTCACCTTATCGCTGGAGTCCAGTTCAATTACGAAAAGGTTCCAATTAGAGTATCAAGTAGCTCCAATATGATAGACAAAACAATAGGAGACTTTTAAAGAGTCAAGTAGTGACAAACATGACACTTTCAGGTTAATAAGTTTGATGAATGCATATTTTTGTGTGTGCGGGTAGGGAAATGACTAAATGCATAGGTTATTTGACTTTTCTTTTGATGACCCAACATCCAATATTAATATAATAGATAGAAAAAAATTGAATACCTTATTGTAATATATATATATTGCATTTACTTTCTATTTACTTTAAATATCTTTCTCCCAGAATTAGTAATCAGAGTTGCCTTTAATCTGTCGTATTGCGGACAGGACCAGACCGAAAACTCTTTTGGTCATGGGCAACTTGATGCACGTAAATAAAATAGAGAAATCCGATTAGTGAGTATTAGTTTTTAAGTGTGTATATCAAAACAGAACAAACGCGAATTAGACAACTGTTATATCTTTGGTAAAGTTTGTTATTTATAAGCTTATCGGTCTAAGTTGTTGCCTAATTCGTAGAGACACGAGAAATTAAAAATTAATCGAAAGAACAAATTAATTAATATCAATAAATCTCGATGTTCGGGGTTAACTGCAGTCGGCTGGCATAGTTCCTATGCCAGCAGACGAAGAAAACGATCAGTAGGAAAGAGGTTAGTAGTGAAATCAAAAGAAATCTTACGTTTTCCCAGATGAACGTCGCGATTTCGTCCAGCGTCACGCCGAACTCCCGGTAATCGCCGCTGTACCTGCGAATAAATCAACAAAAGGTTATACATTTGATGATGATTGGATGGATGGGTGGAGAGTTATACCTGATGTACGCCCAGAGGCACAGTATGAAGAAGGAGAAACCCATCAGCATGTTCAGAAGATTGGCCACGGCGTAGATGCCCACAAGACCGAACACTCCGGAGAGGATGTAGCAGATGACTGCCATCGCCAGGAAGACGGCCGGCGTCCTCGCCGCTTTGAAGATGTTCTTGCTCTCGTTGTGTGATTTAAACTGCACGAACGCCTCATCCAAATTCTACGCGAACAAGTAGTTTTAGAACTAATTCATTAATATTATTATTAATTATTAACCTTTTCTAGTTGCAATTTGTACTTTTCGCTGAACTCTTCGCCGCCCATCTTCTGCTTGCTGACGAACTGAAGGAGAGCCTTATCTTTGATCCTCCTATGCTCGGCATCCATCAGACTGGTGTTCAGGTAGGGTTTGTTGCCGCCGCACACGTCCTCCATTAAAGCCATGTAAAGATCTTTGGCATCAGCGACGGCTGACAGGTTATTGGCTTCGGCTGTAGCCTAAAAACACACACACAAAATAGCATCAAAGTACACCACACACACACAAAATTTAGGATTAAGATTGAATACTTACGGCAAGCATGGACTTTGGTTCTGGTAATTCATTGTCACTATATATGTTAATGTACGACTTAAAATATTGCACTAAATCCCTGGCTTTGACTTTCTGTCCGTTGATCTGCTTCAGCACTAGGTTCTCGGGCGCCAACAGCATTGGCACTAATATCTGCAGGTTCTGCTTGAATTCGTCAGAAATATCTAAAAACAACACATTTATTAAACAGATGTTAAAAATGGCACTTTTGGTGATGAACCTTTGAGTTTTCCGTCGAAATGCGGACTGGTGGCCACCTGCAGACCAGGATGTGGCATCAGGAAGCACGCGATCTCCGTGAAGCAGGACTTGATGTGATTGCGAAGCGACTTCATATCCGGATGATGCTTATCGTTCGCCTGCAGCCTCTTCTGCAGGATCTTCTGACCTCCGAGCGCTCCGTATTCGGCTTCGTACGGGTATCTCCAATCCCTCACCAGGAATTGAAGCCTTTGGAACGCCAATCTTCCGTACTCCGTGAATAGCTAAAAATATATTTAATTAGTCAAGAACAAATTATTGATAATATTCAATAGCATAAACATTAAAACTGAGACGCAAGTTAATATAATCCTAGTTATTAGCATGACCTCAACCTATTGCGCAATAAATCCACAGCGAAACGAATCACGTATTACAAGTTAATGAAATGCATCGATCATTCATACAGAAATATCAACATTTGCTTTACTTATTTATTTTTTCCTCTTTCTTTCGAAAATCCTTATTAACCTCTAATTAAAGTAAATCATAATTGTGCACGCACGCGATCCTCGTAATTATGGTTCGTTAAGGAAGAAAGGAAACGAGCTGTGATCCACGACAACAAATTAGCCTGCTAATGAGAGAGATATGCAATACGCGGTACGCACCAGATTAAAAGGCGAGCCTAATTAGAGGAAACGATTGTTATTATTGCAAATTCACAACATTCGAAACACTAT